TCTAACTCTGAATGTCTCCATATAAAATATCTCTACTTAACTTCAATTCATTCATCCATTATTCTTAAACATATAATATTTTATCTTTTTACAATATAGCGATCTATTCATTTTTTAAAGTGCAATTTTATTCTCCTTACTTTATCATATATAGTAGACAATTTTATTGGTTTTTCCAAGACGTCGCATGCGTGACGATGTGCCTCTATATGTGGCACAAATACATTTTTCTTTTAAAAACATGGCATGACTTACTTTCAAAACATTTCAACTTACGTATACTCACGGTCATTATAAGGTATTTTACATATTTCCAATTTTCATAATCTATATGGATTTGAATGGTTACTTAAATTATACAGACTTACCGAGCTCTAGATGTAACTTATCATTATGAAATCGATATACAAATAATCTATAAAACTTGAGTTATTTGAAACTGTGCCTTGAAGCAAATTGCTGAAACTAAACGTATTATGAAAACTATTAAAAATAAAAAATAGTATATTGGATATTTTAAAACAACATTTTATAAGAATTATTTTTTTACTAACTGAAGTCATATTATCACTTCAGACTGCTTAATAAAATGTCATACCAATGATTTTATCATATTAATGATGTTCAAAGTTTACTTAATGTCTCAAAGAAATGAAATTTACATAAAACTGACAAAGTTTGATTTTTTGTTAAATATTTGATACTTCTTGATAAATTCCATTAATTTTATATATTTGAAAAACGAATTTAAAATAAATTTAAAAATGAGTAAAGATCGATTATTTGAAAAACTCCAAAATCTTCAATTTTTATACTCTCTCATTTTTTAAATGCATATGTTAAATTTTATGCCTTTATATTTCATTTAATAATCTGTAAAATGTTTTGAGTTAGAAAACTTCTAGTGATTTTTAATTTTAATATACTACTAGTTACTTGAATAAGTTATTTGTAATAATTTTTGTTATTTGTAATTTTTAACTGTTATAAAATCACCATATGTAAGGCATAAATGAATTAATTAGTATAGCAAGATCTGTATAAAAAAATCGATGCATCATCCTTAACAGAAAAAAAAATCACTTTCATTATTAATACGTTAACACAATTAATTCGGACATAGCATAGAATATTTTTTAATGTATTCCTGTTTCGTATTAAAAAAGAAATATACTGCAAATAGCTACTGTTACAATTGCAATTTGGATTATGTCCAAGTTTATAATAAATTGCGTCACATTTCATGCAGTTAAAACAATAAACCGAAGTGAAATTTCGGCAAAAAATGATTAAAGATTATTTATTACGCCCGTGACAATTTCAATTTATTTTTTCAAAATTCCACATTTATTGCAGTTGTATCAAACAATTAGCCTATGCTTTATTTTAGTCTCTACTTTAGCTCGATAACGTTTTTAATAATTTATCACATAACTGGGCGACCTCGTTGTAGCACATCGATCTAGAAAATCGTTAATTTTTAAAGTGTGCCTATTTCTGTACCTATGGCCCAGTTCTTCTTTATTTTTCAGATTACACATTGCTTATTGGATATATAACATTTTACTTCTAGAAATCAAAATAAACATATCTTCATCAATCAGATATTAGTTGTGAAGCTAGATGAACATACCCCTTCACGATGTTGCCGTTTCTATTTTGCAATAAAATTCAAGAAAGGATGATACATGATAATTTCCACTTTTTATTTATTATCAGTTTTCATAGTAGATTTTCGAAAAAATGGAAATTTTTTAAAAAAAGAAGGTCCAAGGCAATTTAAATGAAAGTTGCTTGGATATTATGAAAAAATTCAAAATAATTAAGTTCCCACCACTTGATTAAGTAGCATAGCCATACTTGTACGTATCAATGTATACAGTTTCATATTTGAATAAAATTAGCTCGATTCTGTTAGAAAAGTGTTAAAATTACTTTCAAGAAAAAACAGTAACTACTAAAATAAATTTATTCTTGACACGTTAAAAACTATTTGTACTTGCAAGTCTGTTTCTGTAGTATCTACATAGATTGTAATTCAATTTTTACTTGGCTAAGATTGTATATTGTGAATATTGAAACCTACAGAGTCATTCGAATAAAGCAAAAATCAATGTCATTATATTTAAATAAATTACATATTATTAACTTACTGGAGGAGAAGCTTATGTTTTCGACAGAAATGCCAATGAACTATTTTTATGTTCTCACTCAATGTTTCCAATTCTGAATTATTCGGCACAAACTTTGGATAAAATGGATGTGAATTTCTAAAATAATCATGTGAAATATTTATGCAAGTAGACTTAAAAGTTGTGATTAAGTATCTAAACTACTAAGGTATGAGAATTTGTTCGCGCCAAAACAATGTTAGATGGCGCGAACAAACGACATTTGTCAAAATCAGACAATAATTAGTCTATGTCGATCCCAAAAAACAAAAAGATTTTGCATATAAACGCTAATCATGAGCGTTGATGGTCTCTCGCTGTCTCGTTTGTCACGTACGACGCTTCACTTGTTTTTCCGTATGAGTTTGTTGAATTTTCAGAGTGTTAGATGTTATTCGTGTAAATAATTTTTTTTATTAATCGCAGTGTTCCTTATTTGAGCTTTTGGAGTCGAATCCTTCCTCAGCATCCAATTCCTACAGCGATCTGAGAATTCGGGACTTTAAGCCACCATCCGACTGGGCCGACTTCCAAGCAGATAATATATAGTTTATCCTTAATATACTCAATTGTACAAAATCCTTGGAATAGCTATTGAGTCAAATTCAATAAGCTATTCCAAAAGGGTGTAACCAACCCCCATCCGTAACAGAATTTTTTACTGAACAATTTTGATCATATTTTCCATTCCCGTGAACATTATCAAGTTTTATTAAATTTCTTCTGTCACATTACGTGTCGCAAACGTCATTCGTTTTCCTAATTAGCTTAACAAATGTTCGCGATAATGGTCGAAAAAATGTTATGCCTTAGGTCATTGAACACTTATAATTCCTATTTCGTGTTTTTATTTCCTAAATCTTGATGTTTATTTCATGGTGTACGGCCTGTATGGAATAAATTATCACCCTATTATGGCGTAAAATATTGCGTTTTTTTAAGAAATTGCGTTGCGTAGATGTCAGAGAATAATGTTTTTACAGGAGAAATAGATAAATGGAAAAAGAGAGTTGCTTAAAGGACATACTGATATGCAAGATCTGTTCTTGAGTAGCATAATATTCGAATACATCTGTTAATTAATTGATCTCTTGAAAACGTAATTATTATTTAAATAATTGTTTAGTATCAGCACTAGAAAGTTTAGTTCAATTCTGGATCCAAATTGAAGTGACTATAGTTGTATTTTTTTTAATTTGATTTTTTTTTTCCAAATGTACAAATATGATAGAAATTATATTAGTATAAAGATTGATCTCTTGATATTTTATTTTATTCATATTATACCGTCAAGAACTTCAAGATTTCATTATGCCAGCTTACCTGCCTCGTTTCTTGTTTTGGATTAGAATTGAACTTCGAACTTTAGGAAAGTCCCAATGTCTGTCGTTCCATTTATGAGACTTGTGTGCCGAAAAGTCGATATTAATGCGTTCCGCTTGTAATCAACACGCACGAGGTTTTTCATGCTATGCTGAATTAATCTAAAGGATTAATATGGTCGATAAGGCTGAGGAAAAATTAAATTAACTGTAGTATTTCACTTTTGCATAATAATATTTTTATTTGGATTAAAATTTGAGGGATTGCTACCACATTAAACTATATTAGTATGATATGAAATATTTATAGAGGTAATTAATTTTTTTTCTTTCATACTCTCTACCCTAAAAAAAAAAATTTAACCAAAAATATTTGTACAGAGCTACTGCACAATTTTACTAACATTTTTAGTCTAGTTGAGATTTGGACCCTAATTGAAGATATCTAGTTGCCTTAAACTATCTGCTTTATTTATATCACCAGAGATATCTGAGGAATATTGGAGATATCTAATTCTATCCTGTTCTCTTATTTATATCAGCCTTGTCCTGTTTCTCTGAATTGATTCCTATTTTAGAATCACAAATGCCAGAAAAAATATTTTTTTTTGTCTACGTTTGACAAACTTTGTATTTAGCTGCTACAAATATCTTCATGTTTTAATTAAATATATTTAATTGCTTTTCAAATGTATAACTTGGGCTAAAATTGTCTGATTGGTTATACTGTTTCTATAATAAGAAGAAGGAGATAGATGTTTCTAATAGTTTCTTCAACTTAATTGAAAATACATTTAAATAAAATGTGTTTTATTTCATTCTGAAGAACGCAATATACATATTATTCTAATGTAATTATATTTGTAAATCTTGGTATATATTTCCTCGTGAATTAATTTTAAAAATGAATAATTTTAGAATTGAAGATTTTATTTGGTAATAGGGCTGTTAATATTTTTAGCAGTTGGTATTACTGCCGAACATTGAAATCTAACACTATAGGGGTAATCATTATTAGGCAAACTATTAAATCGTAGAGTACGATCAGAATCAATCTTTAGATTTGTGTGATTTAAATTTAGATAAGGATTGCTTTTCATTCGGACAACTGTCTGTTTCAGGGCCGAGAAATTACTTCTATGCAGTAATACAAATCAGATTTTTACACTATCTTAATTTACTTACTATAGAAAAAATTGAAATCATTATAAATTTTTCTGTTTATATTTTGTTTCACAAAATTTGTAATTATTTTTTATTCTTTGTAGCATTCGACGCATTAAATGAGGTAATTAAAATAAATTAAACTAAATAAAACTCTAGAATTATCTTATAAATATGAATTGCATAAGTTAGTATTTTTAATGACAATGAAATATCTCAAGTGCAAAATGTTGGTTCCGGAGGCATAGCACAGGTGGCGGTATAAACGGCCTGATCATCGCGGTCGTAACTCACCGGATGTCTCCGTGGCCGTGTCGGCGCCCCCGCCGCCGTCACAATTGCCATGGCGGACGAAGAAATAATTCCAAAGACTTTGCTCCAGAAACTGCTTTTTTACACGACCGCGTTTTTCGTATTACTGGGAACCTTCAGCATGTTCGCATTCCTCTTCCTGGTACCATTTGTAATCGATCCAGCTTTCACGACAATCTTCATGCAATTCGATACAAATCCAGCTCTGTGCGTGACGGTGGACACGGAGCACAGAAGAGGAGTCTCCAACTGTTCCTGGACCTCCTGCAGAGAAGGATGCACGAAAGACGTGTACGACTGCACACAGATACGCGTTAACTACAAACTATTAGCTCCGGGCGATGAGGTTCCTGAAATAGTAACGGAACCCGTGTATCAGAGATACCACGCTCGATATCAAAGGGCTTTGCGTGAATACGACTACATAGAAAGGCCCATGGATCCATACGAGCAGTACACGGATTTCGAAATGGATCCTTTAGAACAAACCGGCCTCATGGGCAATGACTCTGAGTGGTATTTTACCGGGGCGCGTCTGTTTCCCAACGTTAAGGGTTGCGGATACCCTCCGATGTTGAACTGTAGTATATTTCTCAAACGTTACCGCGATATTGGAACGAACTTCACGTGTTATTATAGTCGTGTTGACCCAGGGTTAGTGATCAGCGATTTGGACATGTGGCAGAATACGCTGAATTTAGTTCTCGCGATGGCGATACCGATTCCGTCGTTTATTATATCGGTCATATATCTGACTATAGCGTACTTTTATATATACAATGAGGAGCCCGAAGAGGCGGCGGCTCCGTTAGGCGATAACGCAGAAGAGATTGCCGGCGAGGGCAGCGAAGGTGTGGTCGTGTCTGGGGAGGAAGGCACGGACGACGTCGGCGGATGTGCATCCACTACGAGCGGAGCCGGCCTGTCGCCGGCGGAAGATCTCTCGGTGAGCTTCGGTCATCAGCTCAAGGTCAAAATGGTGGACGACATGAGTAGGGAAAGCATGGATGGACTTCAGCCTTCTAATTCCGCTTCGTTCAATGGGTGAGATAAAAATTACTAAAAATAAGAATAATTAGAAACATTATATTTACTAACTTATACTTTAATAATGACGTATTTTATCCATTAATGTTATTATTTGATAAGTTAAAAATAAGCAAGAAGTAAGCAATTCAAAATTACCATAATGATAAAACATATTTTTATAAAACTTGAATCACAAGAGAAATTATAAACATATCTTGTACAGAATACCAATCCAATAATTCTTTAATTTAATTTCAATTGGTTTAAGGTTTTATTATTTTTGATGCCAAAATCAATTAATTATTAATTGAATTAATCGTGCATTTTAAGTATCACAATTAAGTATAAAATATACTTAAGTCATTTACATTGCAAAATTTTATTGTATTGTTTTTATTGTATACTGTCATTATGTCGAGACAAAAATGTACTGATGACAATTATTTGCAATACCTCTAACAATATATTTACCAGATATATCCATGATTAAAAAAATTACACAGTTCCACGAAAAAAGTTATCAGTATTGGTGTGCTACATATGTTTTCCAATATAGTTTTTACCACTGAACACTGAGAATCTGAAGTCAAAATTGGGAGTCAAATGACAAAAAAATTGGAAAAAAATTAAAGAAACGGCGGAATCTCCGATCCAATAATTTTTCTGCATAATAAATAAAATCTTGTAATTTTTGTCAATTTTTAACTCTTTTTACCTTAAGTGATGGTTTATTGGTTTCTTTCGTATAACTTACTTTATCCTTGGAATATAGTTTTCTATTTTCCTTTAAATAGCATCTGTAAAAATACTATTGTTTAAGCAAAACTTTAAATGCGTTTTTCTCAGAACAGGCTTTTTTAGTACCGTTGACACGATTTCTCGAGTTCTACTCGACCGATTCACTTGAAATGTTCAGAGAGTCTTGTTTATAGACTTGTTTATAGAAGGTCTATCTAAAGCCCGAACTAGGATTATCCCCCGAATTCCAATTTGTACTATTTTTAAAAAAATCGAGAAACTCTAAAAAACAGTAAAAAAACACTTTTTTTTCAAACAGTCGCAAATTTGTAAAAAAACATTTTTTTTGCTCATCGCTAGTTCGCGCGATTGCGACATCATTGTAGATTTATAATCTTTTTATTTCTTTTATTTCGGATGGCTAGGAGGACTGAAATCATGTCAAGACTGAGGTGCCAATTTTTTTAGACCACCCACTTTATCAGCTGCCAGTTTTTACAGTTTTCAACTTTTTAATGTTTAAATTTTTGTTTTGTATTTTAATAATATTAATAAACAACTGGTAGGAAGTGGATAGTAAAAACATTCATTGCTTTCTTTTACGACACTTTAAAAATGACCTAAATTCATCGCTCTACACTAGAATATCCCCTTAAACCTTCTAAAAATCATAAACCAAATACATCAATAGTATTTACAGTCATAGAAATTTTAATACTTACATATCCCCATATGTTTAATTGCTTTTATATTCGTTCCATATCAATTTGGATATCAAATACAATCAAAATAAATCGAATTCATAACACTATATTTTATGAAATATTTTTAATTAAAATATTTTTGTTTTTATTAGTGTAATCAAAACATATATCATATAACTGTCTCACGCACCACCGCCAATATATAATGTGCCATGAAGCGTGTTTATAGAACTTGCACTGAAAATTCAATATTCATGTTCAATATTCCGTACATAAATTATATTGGAGATATGTTGACGACAAACAAAACTAATTACAGAAGCTCATGGTTTAGCGATTTCATAATGTACTGTTCAATATTTGATATGTTTATTGCATTCTGCACAACAAAATCTATTTACCAAAGTTTGTTCTACACGACAGACGATGAAACAACATATATCCCAAATAAATACCAACGCTTACATTAATTCAAATTACGTACGGTAAAATTAGATGAATTTGATAAAAATCTAGAATTATAATTATTTAGACTTTTAATAGTATTAATTTTAATATAACCCCATATGTTATATGCCTCAATGCAATAATGAAAACCTGTTTGAACAAACATACTTCATTCTTCTTCCTTTGAACCTTATATCAAAATGAGTATAATTACTACTATATCCTGGCACAACCGTACCCAATTTTCCTTATTACTTTTATATATTTTTAATACATTCATTAAAACATTTTTACATTCCCGTAGGACAAGTTATAGTAATCGCGAAAAAATCAAAAATGAATTTTTTTATATATCTTTACGTTTCAAAGGTCTCTGAAAATTTTCGCCGACGATTTCGGGAACACCGATCGACCGATTTCATTGAATAATTGATTTTTGAATAATTCAAAAAACATTCGATTTGTATTGATAAGGAGACGTGCTGATTAGTTTTTGGCACAGGCGTTTCTAGCCGTTCCGAAGATACGGGGCAAAAAGTGCCAAATATAGTAGCTCAGTTTTTAAGAGAACTGAGCGTCCGATTTTAATAATTCAAAAAACATTTTACTTGTATTAACAAGATGAATAACTGAATAACTTTTCATGAAGGCAGGTTCAGCGGTTTCGGAGATCTAATGAAAAAAGTAAAAAAATGCCATTTGACTGTCAAAAATGATCATTAGACATATGCACATCAAATTATCAGATATTTTATAGAGATTTTAACAATAAGTATAAATTTTGTTTACATTCCTATGGGTTCCGTTCCAATGTTTATCCGTTAGACGGCGGCGCGGCGCTTACGCGCTTCGATATTTCGTCTCTATACGGTTAAAGCAGTTCAGAGTTCCCAAAATATTTCAAAATAAAGAAAACATTTTTTTTTTCAAAAAAAAGTAATTTTTTGTCGAATTTATAGTTTCTCAAAAATCTAATTTTTTCAGAGTAATTTTTTTTCAAAAATGTTAATCTTCAAAAAAAAATGTTGATACGGGATAGTTCCAGCAATTTGCCTTAAGGCACGATGCCATGAGCCCCACTAGTTTAAATTATTTTTATTTTTATTATTATACCGGTCTTGCACATTACACTACTTACCACATTTTTAATCTATTAATCGATGACGAACGGCCTCATATTTTGCGCCGGTTTTTCCGAATAGCCCTCCATGATGATGCATAGTTTTTCCAGAGTTTTCTTCGCATTACGATACCATCTTGCTCCTTTCCCAGCACGTGATCGGCGATGATTAAACCTCCGCGCACATCTGATATCGTTATAGGAAATATTTATTACACCATGCTTTGGAAAAGTTTGTTATTTTATGATTTTTGATTTCTTGTTGATGTAAGTTTTCCAACTGTTACTGAAAGTATTGTGATGTTGAATCTTATTTCAATTACTTTCTAGTCATTGAAAGTATCCTTGAATAGCTTTTTCGACATTTTGCTATTTTGCCATAACCAGATTGAAATGCATTGGGATATTTTTTAAATAAATATTTAAAATAATTTTTAAACATCTAAATTTGAACTTTCGCATATTTTAAAAGTTTATAAAAGGAACAAATATACTGATTAGTTTTGATAAGTAACTGCTCTAATTTTTTTTTGGCTTATTTTTCTAGACTTATAAAGAAATTTAAAAGTATTTGGCGTTTTTGAACGTTTTAAAATTTTAATTATCATTATGAATTCTACAAGTTCTAATTTTTTACTTAATTATTATGCACTAATTTTAAAAACTATTATAAAATTTCTGAAAATTGAAAAAAGTAACTTCTCTAAATTTCTTCGAATTTTCTTTCTCGATTATTATAAAAATTTATTCTTGAGATTTTTAATATTATAACTATGAATTACTAATTATTATAAGTTTTCTGAAAATTGAAAAAAGGCAACTTTTCTAAATTTCTTCGAATTTTCTTTCTCGATTATTATAAAAATTTATTCTTGAGATTTATGATATTATTACTATGAAAATACTATGATTTTTTTAATTTTACATGTTATAAATTTTCATCTTAAGTTGTTTTTATTAATTTTTCAGAGCTTATATGAACTATATAACTTATTAGATCAATATAAATATAAATTACTAAAAAATATTAAAAGTATATATGAAAACTATTATTATAATATGTTGTATGTATTATAGTATTAACTAAATATTCTATTATATATAAACAAATTAAATTCATTAAGTTTACTCACAAACATTTATTGATGAATAGTTTATATACAATTAAATAATCGGTATCGTTGTTAATACTCTATTTATTAAGAATGAATAAAGTAACGAATAAATTAAATTTTATTAATTAAAATTTTATATATATATATATATATATATATATATATAACTATATTACTTACTAAAACAATATTTTATAATGTTAATGTTAATTATTTAAATTCATTAAATTTAATTTTTTGAATTTCAGGAAATTCACGATTTTTGTTTCAAAATTTTATTAGTTCATAATGACTATAAAATCTTTAACAACAATCGTAAATTTTCTAAAAGTAAAAAAACTAAACAACGAGGTGTTTTGAAAATTTGGAAAATTAAAACAAAAAATTTAGCAGGTTTAACACTAGTTAAAATTCTGAAAAATGTCTCCATTACTTTTAACTGCTGAATTTAAATCTAATTTTATATTTTTATTATCATCATCGTCAGTGATGAAATAAATTTATTTTGATATTTATAGGTCAAAATAGCTTATATAATATTCATATTTCTTTGAAATTGAGCTATTCCAAGTTATTAGTTGTCTGACACTAAATGGACATACAATTTCTTTCCAATGAATTATTGATATTGAAAAATTGATATTCTATTTATGTACTATTATAAGGTATAATTATACAATTATTGTTTCAAAAGAGTTAGTAGAGAAGTATCATTATAAGGTACTCTGCATTAAAATTGATATGTTTTTGGTATTAATGCGCATTTCAATTCCATATATATATATGGAGGTGGAAGTTTTCTATCGTTAGCTTTAGATTATTTTCATTCTCTAACACTATTTAACAGTTTCCACTAAATCAATGGATTTCCAGAAATCACCTGGATAAAAT